AATTTCCTTTTTTCGTTTTGTTTTTCTTTGCTCTTGAGGTGTTGCTTATTAGGTCAGTGGGAGGCTCACCACTCCTTAGAAACAGTGAGGACTTTGGGCTATTCAGGGCTGGTGGCAACAGTTAATGGTAATTGTGAGCAATAGGTAGGCCAACCATAAGAGAAATCATCAATTTTCTAATCCTGTACAACTTTCAACACTCAGAGATACCTTAAATAAGTCAGGAAGAAACATATAGATTACCTGATGACTAGGAACAATCGCAGAGGCTCAAGAAATATGAGCAAACAACAAAAGGCCTCTCCCTCAAGGGAAATCATCAAGCCTACATCATCCACTGTCAATACAATGGACGTCGTGGACATGTCTGATAAGGAATTCAGAATATTTGTAGTGACCAAACTAACTGAGATGGAAGAGAAAAGAGACAAGGAGCTCCAGGAGATGAGGAAGTCCTTTAATGACTTGAAAGAAGAAATGGATACCCTAAACAAGAACCAGATGGAACTTCTAGGTTTGAAGAATGTGATAGAGGAAATCAAAACCTCCCTTGAAAGCATTAAATGTAGGTTAGACCAGGCAGAAGACCGAATCTCTAACGTAGAAGACAAAACATCTGACCTAGATAAAAGTATCAAGAAGATTGAGAAAACAACCATGAAAAATGAGGATAATATACGAGGAATACTGGACACCATCAAGCGCCCCAACATTCGGATAATTGGTATTCCGGAGGAGGAAGAAAATAATAAGGGCCTGGAAAATTTATTCCATGAGATCCTGGAAGAAAACTTTCCAAATCTAGAAAGGCATTCAAATATCCAGACCCAAGAAATACAGAGGACCCCAAGTAGAATCAACCCAAGAAGATCATCTCCAAGGCACATCATAGCCAGACTGGCAAAAACAACAGATAAAGACAAGATACTAAAGTTGGCAAGAGGGAAACGCCAGGTTACTTACAAAGGTCACCCCATCAGGCTAACATCGGATCTCTCAGCAGAAACAATGCAGGAAAGGAAAGAATGGGGAAGCATAGTCAAAGTGTTGAGTGAAAAACAATTTCAACCAAGAATACTATACCCGGCAAAATTATCTTTTATATGGGAAAAAAAGATAAAAACATTCTCAAATAAACAAAATTTGAAGGAATTTACCAACACCAGACCAGCTCTTCAAGAGGTTTTGAAGGGAGTACTATACCAGGAAAACTAAAAAATCAGAGACAGTTATACGAGAACAAAAAACAACTAAGAAAATGGCTCACTTAATGATAGGATCAGGTATGGAAATATCGATAATTACATTGAATGTCAATGGATTAAATTCCCCAGTTAAGAGACATAGACTAGCTGAATGGATAAGAAAACAGAAACCCTCTATCTG